GGCTGTTCAATACAAAACCCAGCGCTTCGTTATGTGCTGCTCTGTACAGCAAGCTGCTGCTGCTGCTGCTACTGCTGCTGCTGAGACCCCCACCTTTTGCTGCTTCAAGCCACTGCAACAGCAGCCGCAGCAGCACCCGATGCAGATGGTTACGCACCAGCGGCAAGTTCAAAGGCCAACGTATCACCTGCTGCAGCTGCTGCAGCTGCTGCGGCTGCTGCTGCTGCAACTGCTGCAGCTGTGCATTAAAGATGTCGCAGGTCTGCTCGATGAGCGTCTCCTCTGCAAGGAGGTGTACATACACCTCAACCGAATCAGAAAAATAGAAGGTAGCCTCTTGCTGCCATCCTGTTGCAATCAGCAGAAGATCAGCAGGCAATGCAGTCTGTTCTTGCTGCTGCTGCTGCTGCTGCTGCTGCTGCTGCTCCTGCTGCTCTTGCTGCTGCTGCTGCCATACAGCATGCAACACTTCCAGGCAGCAGCGCACAATCATGTTCCCCTTCTGCAGCACATCCAATGCTGCTGCTGCTGCTGCTGCTGCTGATGCTGCTGAGGAGGAGGGCATGACGCAGTGCTCCGGCAGCCCCGACCAAGCGAAGTCGCAGCAGCGCAGCAGCAACTGCAGCACAGGGCTTCCTGCTGTATGCTGAGCTGCTGGCAGCAGCTGCTGTAGCATGCTGCAGCAGCAAGACAAACGCACAAAAAGATTCTATATCCATCCCACGCAGTATCTAAACACGAAGCAACAGCAGCAACAGCAGCAGAAACAGCAGCAGCAGGACGCGCAAACACCAGCAGAAGCAGCAACAACAGCAGCAGCAGCAACAGCAGCAGCAGCAACAGCAACAGCAGCAGCAGCAGGACCCACCTAACTGTCGGGCAGCTTCCAGCTGCTGCAGAAGCCTGAAGAAAGAGGCGTGACAGAAGAGCAGCAGTTGCTGCATGGATGCTCTCCGCAGCTCCGAAGGTGTGCTGCTGCTGCTGCTGCTGCTGCTGCTCCTGCTGCAGGACAGCAGGCAGGTGCAGAGCCAAGTCCAGCAGCAAAGCACGCAAAGACAAATGAGGCGCATCTGCTGCAGCAGCAAAACGAAATAGTTGAGGCATCGGCAGCAGCGAGAAACGCACAGGCCAGATGGGCCCTTCAACGCTGCTGAGCGAAGCTACCCACTGCTGCTGCTGCTGTTGCTGCTGCTGCTGCTGCTGCTGCAGGTGCTGCAGAGCGACCCAGTGCGTCAGCGGTAGCTGCAACTCCTTGACGATCTGCAGGAACACACACAGCAGGTGCGCAGCAGCAGAAGCATCACTGGAGACGGTCCGGAAGCTGCTGTTGCTGCAGCAGCAGCAGCAGCAGCAGCTGCTGCTGCTGCTGCACCCGCTAAACCCTTATACATTATATTTAATAAAATTGATGGATCCAGCTGCAGCAGATAAACTTTGCAGCAGCAATG